GAGCTAGAGGGCCTAGGCTGGTGCTTGGGATGTCATCTTGGGATGCTTGACTCGATCTGATTGGCCCGCGGTGGTCGACTTAGATTGATCAGCTCGGGTTGGTACTTTAGATGATCGTTTGTTATTCAGCGTGGGGTCGTCATGTCTGTCCTAGGCAGCCTAAGATGGTCGTTGGGCCCGTGCTTCTCAGCCCAAGTTGGTCGACTTGGGGTGTTTGTAAAAATAAAGTTTAGGAACTGAAACTTAAAAAGAAATAATTTTTTTTTAAAAAAGAAACTTTAAAAAGAAAATATGCAAAATTGTATAAATTAATCAACTTAGTGGGTTGTAGGATTGTGATTAAATTCAAGTCCAATGGCACTGACATTGAGGGGTAAAAGAGATGGAGTTTGACCTTGTGAATCACCCGCATCCGCACCCCCAATCCTTGATCTTCTACCAACACGGCAAACTCAACGATGGCCAGCAACTAATTTGCTGCTCCAAATGCCGTCAACCATGGCGCCCACCCGCCTTCAGCTGCTCCGACTGCAACTTCCATCTCCATCAATCATGCGTCCACTTTCCTCCTCAGATCCGCACCCCCTTCCATCCCCAACACCCTCCTCTCTCTCTCACCATCAACAACCACTCCTGCAACTGCTGTTACCAAATTCCCACCGACCACCTCTACCGCTGCTCCGAATGCGGTTTCCAGATCGACCTCCAATGCGCCATCGCCGACCCAAAAGCCAGCGGCTTACGACGGATGCCAACTGGCCAGTTTCAACATTTCAGCCATCCCCATCCGTTGACCTTCACCATAAACACACCGCAAAAGTTGTTTGCCTTGTGTGCCAACTCCTTATAACATCAGGTTCTATTTACTTCTGCTCTCGCTCCGATTCCTACTTTCATCAACAATGTGCTGAGCTTCCTCGGGAGATTCTAAATCTTGTTTTTCATCACCATCCCCTGTTTCTTTTTCCTCGACCCTTTGTGTACAACTCTCTTTGCGACAGCTGCAGAAATGAATGCGTAGGATTCTTCTACGGCTGTCCGCTGTGTAATTTCAATCTTCATGTAGCGTGTTTGTCATCCTTCAAACACCAACACACTTTCCTCAATCTCCGGAGGGTGCTTTCTTATGATTGCCAAGCTTGTGGCAAGTCAGAGCGTGGATTTCCTTGGTTTTGTAACATCTGCCATCTCTCCGCCCACAAAAAATGTGCAGACTTACCATTGGTTCTCCAAACCTCTGAACATTGTCATCTCTTGGATCTCACATTCTCTCTTCATCAACTTGGTTTGAACAACTGTATGTGTAAAACCTGCGGTGAAGAGATAAACAAATCGTATGCTGCATACGTTTGTCGCCAATGCAGCTATGTCGCGCATTTGGGTTGTGCTGACAGTCGACGAATTGAAATTTTCAATGAGAGATCAGTGGATGCTAACAATGACATCAATTTGGAAGGTGGGATTCTTCATTTTAGCCATGAGCATAATTTGAGCCTCTGCTCTGGCGGGGACAGGCATTGTGATGGGTGCATGAGGTACATACAACTCAGTCCCAATCTTATGGTTGCTCGCAGTGCAACTATTTTTTGCATCAAGAATGTGCAAGATTGCCAACACATAAGACTTGCTTGTTCCATCCACATTTGTTGAATTTGATCTTCATCTCAGATTTTGTATTCTCATGTGCTGTTTGTCTTCAATATTGCCATGGCTTCGCCTATCAATGTGAACAATGCCCCGGCTTCGCCATCGACATTCGATGTACTACAATTACAATCCCATTTACACATCCGAGTCATGATCATCCCCTGTCTCTATGTTCTACGAACGAACAACAGAATAGCGAAGCTTGTGGGGACGGGGTGGATGAGAACAAAGTAGCGTTTGGATGCATCGATTGCAACTTCCATTTGGATGGAAGGTGTGCAACTCTCCCAATCGCAGTGAAACACAGATTCGACGAACATCCTTTGAACCTCACATTTGTGAATGAAGATGAGAAAAGCGAGGAATATTATTGTGACATTTGTGAAGAAGAAAGAGAGGCAGAGCAATGGTTTTATTATTGCAGGTTGTGCTGTTTTACCGCACATACAAGTTGCGCTCTTGGGGACTATCCCTTTATGAAGTCTGCAAAGTGTGAAGGAGATGTTCATCCGCTGAGTTTGGTGAAAGAGGGTAAAAAAGGGTACTCTGCTTGTAGAAACTGCGGCGATTCTTGTGATGGAAATTTGGCATTTGAATGTGGGCGTTGCAAGTTCAATGTGCACGCATTTGGGCCTTGTTACCACCAACAGCTTATGCAAGGCCGAATAGGTTTCACCATGCCTTTCCCTTACTCTCGTTCACTTCTCCTCTACTTGCACCCTTATCAAAGGTAACCCCATGATCTACTGTTTCATTTACTATATACTACTTTGTGTTTACGGGAGGGTTATCGAGTACTTTTAGTCTTCTCTTACGATTTCAGTACACTGCCGTTTTATATATGATATGTAGAAAAAAATTAATTTGTTCAAGGGTAAAGTTTCTGTGATCATTGAAAATAACGGTTTGAATAAGTGTTTTGTTTGTTACTATTTTTTCCATGACAAACAAAACACTGATTATGAACTCTCTTAAACAAATTAATTTTTTACTACATATTGTATATAAAATGACAGTGTACTTAAAAGAGTTTTATGAGTGAAATCAGTACACTTTTTTTCTTCCAGAAACGATATCCTTTATTTTTTTAATGTGAAGATCGGGGAGCAAGCGCATCTCGTTGGGGCCGTACGGCGGAAAAGGCGGGAATCCTTGGAATGAAAGAGCTTTCTTGACGATCAGACGGTTGGTGGTGAATCATGGGCGATGGATTGACTCTATCCGAATAGAATATGAGAAGAATGGGAACTCATTTTGGTCTGCAAAGCATGGCGGAGATGGAGGTTCCAGATCTGAGGTTAGCTCAAATAATTCCATAAAATTAGTGATGTTGTTTTGTGATTGAATTGGTGAGATGGAATTGATTGCAGGTGGTTTTAAATTATCCAGATGAATATCTTGTTACGATTGAAGGCTGCTATGGCGACATACATTTGGGTGGAATTGCAACCACTCTTATACGATCGCTGACTGTAACAAGTAACAGGAGAAGTTATGGGCCTTTTGGAATGGAAGAAGGAACAAAATTTTCATTTCCAAATGAGGGGATGAAAATTGTTGGCATCCATGGTAGGTCTGGTTCTTACCTTGATTCAATTGGACTCCATGCAATTTCAGATCATGTGTAATTAAGTGGGTGAAATGGCAAGGTAAGAGCTCTGAAAGGTTAAGCCTGCCATGTATATATTATTTTTAGGATATTAACTTTTAAACAAGAGTACGAGTATTCAAGCCTCTGTTTGCTTGAAACATCTATCTACTTTATTTTTTTTACTAACAACTTCTTGGTTGGAGATATATGTCAATTACCCTTTAGTAACGCTCGTTTTGACACATCCATTTACTTTATTAATCCTCATTGTGATTTTTTCGTCCAATATTCAAAAGCATTAATTAATAATTATTATGAATAGAGAATGTGGTTTATCAAAACCTTTCATTTATGTCGTGGCACGTGAGACAATGTGGTTTCCAGTCATTTTTGTTATTAATTAATATAATATGTTTCTTCACAGTCACAATCACCAAAGAAATTTCAACAATTAATTTTGTTTACTGACTTTTCTAAAGATACATGGGTCTCGGTGACTCGGTCTCCTCTAGTTGTGGTGGCCGGTTGCGGGTCATCCAATTAAATTATAAATCGTATTTTGTAAATTACGTTTTATATAATATTTCTCAATCTCAATCAATTAGAAATCCTTTTTATTAAAAACAATTTATAAATTAATCTCTATAAACGAGATCGTAGTTGGAATTCCGACATCACATCTCTCAACTTTATTGTTTCTCATCCATCATTGAGTAACCAGTCCACAACATCAGGATGGTAAATTCTAGCCATTAAAGGTACGGTAAATGTGAGTCACCAATTTTTTCTGATTCACCGTTTTATTTTGTTGCTGCAGGAAGACGGCGAAGCTTCACAGGAAACGGCGGTGAAGATCGAGATTCACGGGTGCAAACAAGGTGGGAGTCCTCGGGATGACGGCGTTAATTCCACCGTTAGACGACTTCTGTGATGAATCACAAAGAGTGGATGGTGGAGTATGATCAAAGTTAACGTCGCTGTCCATGGATATTTCTGTAAAACATTGACTTATTCACGAGGAATGGTAAAAAATCCCAATTTATTTTTGTTGGACGACTTTTAGAATTCGATGCACGCAAATTTCCAAAGATACAGGGTGTCTCCTCTCCTCTGGGCTCTGGTTGCGGTTGAGCGACCACTGATTCCAATCTCTCAACTTTGTTGTTTCTCATCTCATCCATCCTGATCCTGCAGTATCCAGTGACCATTATACAAGAGAATGGTAAATATTAGCAGCCGCTACTTGAAAGTGACGATGACCCTTTTTCTGATTCACCGCTTTCTTTTCTTGCTGCAGGAACACGACGAGGCTTCACCGGAAACGACCGTGAAGATCAAGATTCGTGGGAGCGAAGAAGGTGGGAGTCCTTGGGATGACGGAGTTTATTCCACCGTTAGAAGCCTTGTGATCACTCACAGAGAGTGGATCTGTTCAATTCATGTCGAGTATGATAAGAATGGGGAATCAATTTGGGGTTCCAAGCGTGGCGGAAATGAAGGCTCCACTTCAGTGGTGAAATTAGAATTACCCTAATTGCAGTTTATGATCGTCAAACCCCGTCTTGATTTTTCTTCAACCGGCTGCTTGTAGGTTTCTTTACATTATCCCAACGAGTATCTAATTTCAATTTCTGGCTACTACGGCAACTTACATAAGTGGAGAATTGCGGCTACTGTGATTCGATCGCTGACTCTCAAGACCAATAGAAATACTTATGGCCCATTTGGGATGGAAGAGGGAACCAGATTTTCATTCCCGACCATGGGGACGAAGATCGTCGGCTTCCATGGCAGGTGTGGTTGGTACCTCGATGCAATCGGACTCTACATACAGCCAATTCCAAAGTATGCGTATAATCTTCTAATTGTATGGTGTAAAAATATAAATAGAGAGATGAATTTCAGTGAGATTATTCTATTGTTTATGTGCAGAAGCCAACTCCAGAACTTCAGCTTGGCACCCTTTGGAGGCAGAGGTGGGAGTCCTTGGGAGTATGTTTTTCAGTCGATCAGACGGCTGGTGATTAATCATGGGCTATGGATCCACTCCATTCAAATGCAATATGAGAATAAGGATGGGGAATTGGTATGGTCCAAGAAGCATGGAAGCAGAGATAATGGAAGCTCCAAATCAGAGGTTAGCCCAAGTTCCCTAATGCCCATAAACTGTTTGTTGAAATTCCCAACCGAGCAATTTGGAACAATTAAGAAAAAAACAGCGAAGTAGAACTGAATGAAGTGATGGGGTTGAACTGAAATGGAATTGTAGGTTGTGCTTGAGTTTCCGGATGAGTATTTTGTTACGATTCATGGCTACTATGGCGACGTGCATAATTTCGGAGATGCGGCCACTGTGATTCGATCGTTGACTTTAGAAACTGATAGAAGAACTTATGGGCCATTTGGAGTTGAGGATGGAACCAAATTTTCGTTTCCAATCATGGAGACGAAGATCGTGGGATTCCATGGTAGATCGGGTTGGTATCTAGATGCAATTGGACTATATTTTGAAGCAAATTCACAAGTACGCTCAATCTTATCCTTTTACTTTTCTCTCAGTATTGTCTTCCCTCACTTTAATTTAATGATGAAAAATGTAAAAGCTTATCGGTCAAAGAAAACCTTTGGTCCCCATGCTATGCTTGGAATAATGCCTAAATTTTTAAAAATAATGATTTAGACTCTTTAATTTTAAATTAATAATAATTTAGTCCTTAAAATTTAAAGTATTTATAAATTACAAAAATTAAATTATTATATGATAAAAATTGACGCTTGATTTTGATGATAATTTTCTTGGTAGTGACTAAATTGTTACCAATTTTAAACTATAGGAATTAAATTGTTATTTATTAAAGTGCAAAGACTAAATTATTACCAATACGAAAGTATAAGGACTAAATTGTTACCATTAAAATTCCATGGACTAAATTGTTAACGTGCTTTTTAACCAAACTTATTCTTTTATATAGAGCCAAGCTCGAGCTCCAGCTTGTGCCCCAATAGTGTTATCTGAGATGCATGATGGAAATGGAAGTTCCCAATAAGAGGTTTGTCGAGTTCTTTTTTAGGGTTTGTTTGAGAATGAGAATGAGTGATTTCAGCTAAAGAGATTAAGTTGATTTTGTAAAAGTGATTTTTATATAATTATTTTAATCTTTGATTACATATTTTTTCAAACGATTTTTATATAATTCAAAATGATGTTGAATGATTAATATTTAAAGTTTAAGGGGAGAATTTGATAAAATTATTTGATGTTATATTTATTTTGTGATATTTATTATGGATTTTAAAAAGTAAAAAATGGTAAAATAATTTTTCACTTATGTTTAGAAAAAAAAAACTAGAAATACATGTAAGAAATAAGAAATTTGATTTTGTCATTTTCAATTTTTTTATACACAATTTTGAAAACGTAGTGAGAAACCGATGAAAGAAGAAGAACAGTTAAAATCTCTTCGAATGGAGACTGTTAATTACTACTGATTTAAGTTTATTTGGACAAATATATATACTTTACATAAATAAACGTGCCCGTACAAATGAACTAAATATCCCAACTACCACAACGAACTAACTCAATAATAAGGGGTAGGAGAGAGAAAGAAAGAAGTTGATGCGGGCTGCACAAGAGACAAAAACAAGAGGGGCAAAAATGTAGTTTCATGGGAAAACCAGCATGCTTCACGCGCTGCCTTTTACGGTCATCGGATTAACGAAAAAAAATATCAGACGGCCGAGAATAAGATGCTCACGTGGAGATAAGTTTCGGACCGTTGGAGAAAATTCTCTATTTAATTTCTCAATATTTCTCAATGCCCACCGTATGTATAAATCTTAACCATTAATTGTAATTTGATCAAATCATGATTCTAAATATTCGTCAACACGTCTGCGTTTCTATCGATATCAATGTTTTTATGGATTCAATATCGACTAGTGAATCGACATTTCTTTCGTAGTACAAGAAAATTAACAAAATATGAAAAATATTAACAAAATATTACTAATATATACATAATATTAATATTAATTATTTTTAACTAATTTAGAAATATAAAAACGTTTATTTGTTAATTTAAATAGTTTTTACGATTTTTTAAATTTTCTAACTTTTACAAAAATATCCAACGACATCGATGTTTCCATGAAATTGACATCTTTATATTTCCATGAAATTGAGACATCGACATTAACATTTAAAACCTTAGATCAAATAGCTACCCTTTTTTTTTATTGATTTTTAGATCTCTCATTCTTAGCAGGGATTTATAGAAATAACACAAAAACTTTATGAATTTATATATAAAATTATGTTTAAAATTTTATAAAAATAACTCATTTGCAAACTTATATAATCACATATCAACAAAAAAAAATCACTTTTCTAACATTTTGAACCAATAAAAGTAGTGATATTTTTATAAATACATATTTATTTTATGATATTTATTATAATTTTTTTTCTTTTTTCTTCTCTCGATTTTGATTTATCCTCATATCTCCAATTCATCTCTTTCTTTTACTACAATCAGTAGAAGAAACTTCCAATCTGCAATTCCATTATCTTTTTTACTCTTTAATAATTTCCATTTTCTTACTTGTTTTGGTTCTGTACAAAAATTTTCCTAGAAAGTTTCAGAGATTCATCCTCTAAAAATTGTCTTATTTTCTTTAATATATGTTCCATTTCTCTAAATTTAATATAAAAACTTTAACTATAAGAAACAAAATAAAAGGAAAAAGATAAAACCAAAAATTACACAAAAAAGGAAACTGAAAATCTGATAACAAAAAGTAGTATTGTTATTTAACTTGAACTTTTTTGTTTTTGGTATATGGTGCAATACTAGTTTTAGTAGAGACAGAATCTGCTACAATTAAAGCCAATATCTCAGCCCACCTTAATTATAATTAATTACATTTACCAATATTATTTTCTCTTTTTCTTTTTATTTGTTTTAATTTTATCTTATTTTTCTCTGCCTATATACAGTAGATTTGAGTTTACTGTGCCCGTCACCTCCTCCCCATTTTGCAGTTCTCTCTATCCTTGTTGCCTTGTTCTCCCTCACCTCTCCTTCATATTGTTGTTTTATTTGTACGGAGATTTGAACATTCAACTTTTTTATCTATTTTTTTCTAAATTATTCAAACTCAAAATTTTAATTATTCCAACAATATTTTTGTCAAATGAGTTCATATTTGATCTATCTTGTTGGTAAACATATTCAAATATGATAAACTCTCATCGTTGTTCTTTGGATATATTTAAATGGAGTGATGAGACGCACCACGAAGAGTGATAGATGATTTTTTTTCGTCTGTTTTATAATGTTTATAGCTTCAAAAATAAGTCCTCAACATTTAGATGTGTTCATCATTTTAATCAATGTTTCAAATCTATATTATTGTCATTTTCTCAATATTATTGTCAATCCTAAAAATTGTAGTTTTACCTCTAGTATTGCATTAGTTGAGGTTGCTTTCACTCTCAATTTTATGATAAAAGAGTATTATGGAATTTTTAGTTGTACTTTTTGGTTTTTATTTATATTTTTCAAATATAATTACAAAAAATGCAAAATATATTTTAGAGCAATTTAATCCTCCTCAATATCTTCTCTATCAAAGTATAAGCATAAATGTGGTTGGAACTAAGAGAGACAGAAGCTGAAACTTTTTTTACATGTACGAGAAACTCCTACTTCACTTGACGATGAAGTTTTTGAAATTCCAGTTGAATGAAGCAATGAGTTGAACCTACTCAAACTACTACTTCCGCCAGAGAATTTAGTTTTGTAATATGAGTTTATTTTAATTAAAATTAAGTTTGAGTTTATTTTAGTTGGTTGGAAAACTTGTGATATAGTTCTCTACTAGCTTCCACTTCCCTTGTGTCTAATCAAGGATGTAGTTGGAACTGAGAGAGGCATAGAAGGTGAAACTTCTTTACTTGCGCAATAAAGCTCCTACTTTATTCGATGAGAACGAAGAAATTTCAGAAACCATAGTTGAACTAAGATAAATAGCAAGTGACACTCAAACTACTAATCAACAATACATCATGGTAAGCATGTTAATTGACCGCTCATTGGTGTACGAATGTCATACTTGGTTGGCCAACGATCCAAGCACTAAAAGTTGCGCCATCTACATACCAAAATCAAAATTCTTGTCGAAGAGTGCTACACCATGGCTATGAAGGAACTCGAGGAGGACCCATGCTCGCCCATGAGTTAGGAAAGTTCCCCCTTCTTTACTCTACGACTCCATGTATAATGGGAGAATCTAGTTTCGTAATCTATATTAGTTTGAGTTTATTTAGTCCAGAAGAACTACTAAATGAATGTTCAATATCAATGAATATAACTTAGCATCCAATAATTTTCCTTTCCCACCACAATGACCACCACTAACACTAGTATCTTTCGAGCAAAACTTTATCTAAGAATATAATAATCTATTATTTGTTAATCATGGGGTACGGTATTAATTTAGATAAAAGTGTTTTGATTTTTCTATAGGCCGGTTATTTAGTACATTCCCGACTTATTACAAGTTTTAGGATTTTTTTTACACAAATTATAAAGTGCACTATTAAATATGGTAAAATTCAAAGATTTATTATACATAAAATTAAAGGTTAAAAAAGTTATATTTATATGAATGCCATGAAATAAAGATGTATTTTCAAATAAAGAAAAAGTTTAAAATTTATTATGAAAATTAATCATCATCCCCACCGGCCACTACCCAAAATCTGATGGGGAATCGCAGTGGGAAAAATATATATCAATAAATATGTTTTATTAGAGTTTTATTTTCAAACAAAATAATGAAGCAAACTAAACGTGGCATCTCCCCTGGCCATTCCTCTATCCAAATTTGAGTTTTTTTTTTTTTTAAGTACTTCTTACCATTTGAGATGGTTGACTTTGTTTCTGATACATCCTCAATATCCAGATTCAAAGAAAATGGAAAAGACTTTTTCCTACCTCTAAAAATTAACTTCAACAATACTTTCATGATATGTGTTGATTATTATTAAAAGAGGAAGTTTTTTTTGTGTTTTTCAAAAAAAAAAAAGAAAAGTGTTCTTCTGGGACTATCAATATCCGAATCAAAGTGCTTTCTTTTTATATTCTTTAATTTTTTTATTAAAAAGAGAGTTTATGCCTCCTTAGTCTTTCCCAAACTATTCATTAATTTGTGGACATAAATAAATGTTGCGTACAAAATCAACAAAATATCCCAACTGCCACCACCATGTGGGGCCCATTTGAATATAAATATCCAAACCTGCTCGTTCATTTGTGGACAAAACGACTTTAGTCATTTTCATAATTATAAAGTGCCCATTTGAGTTTTGACAATAAATAATTATGTACAAAGCAGAGATCAAATTTTGTTCCTCTATTATATTTTCATTAGGTTTGACAAAAAAGTGTTTGGTTGTGGTCAAACCGCTCAAATGGTTAGGACACCTAAAGGTATTTGTTTGTGGATTTAAATGAGTTTAATTTAATTTCAGAATTTGAAATTTGACATTTCAATAATTATAGATATAAAAAGTCCAAAATAATTTAGTTGTGTCAATTTCTAAGACTACAGTAGAGGTGGGGGCGCAGGGGGAGAGAAATTTCTTGAAATGATTTGATTTCATTCATTACTTTTTCTTCACAGCTCGCACCCTCCAAGTTCTATCCTTTCCCAAAAGCACAAGAAATTCCTTTCCACATTCTTCAGCCTTCTTTCACAATTCTTTTGAAATGCCAATGTTTCAATTCTCAAGCTTCGTTTCAGATCTGCTATGAATTTCGACATTCTGAATCAGCCCCACCCCCATCCATTGTACTTCTTCGAAGAGGGCAAGAACGATGGAGCAGATCAAACAGTCCCCTGCTCCAAATGCCGGCGACCGTTGCGGCCGCCGGCGTTCAGCTGCTCCGACTCCGGCTGCAACTTCAATCTCCACCAGTCCTGCATCGACCTTCCGCCTCAGATCCGCTCCCCGTTCCACCCCCACCATCCTCTTTTTCAA